AAGTGTGCTACTCACCATGTGTTCTGTAATGTTGACTAAAAGTTCAGCTTCTAAAAACTGCTCCAATATATACTTTGGTGCCATATCCACAAGAGACTGGAATAAAAACACAACCCACCATTTGTTTACTATTAACCAAGTTATGACAGTTTATCATTCCATCGGACACAATCTTCATTCACTGTTTGCCACATATTAATATATATATGTATGCTCCTTCAAGATACAACACAGCAAACTGCCACCTTGAAATGACACATAAGTAACAATGATAGCCTTAATCAGTGGGGGACATGATACAAGTAGCAAATTTATTCATCTCTCCACAGTTAACCCGTTTCCACTGGTTGTGTGTGCATGCTAATTTCAGTGATGCATGGGTGACCACACAAGACCAGCAGAAATTGGTTAACTGTGCATGAGTGTCAGAATCGGTAGAACGGTGATATTGCATTTTTTTACCTGTTTTGCAGATGGGGTCATTCCTTGCTGTACAACAATACAAGCTCTGGTAATGTTCTCTTCCTGCATTCTCTGACAGTACGTTTTGATGGTCTTGATTCCAACTTTTGGCTCCTCAGGAAAGAACACAAACATCTGGTCTAAAACAAACAGATGCAGTCTCATTAATGACTCGGTTGAAAGAGTCATATGTCCTACTTATGAAATACCTACCTTTCTGTAAAATGCCTTAAGCAACTACTAATCTAAAGCCGTGTAATAAGCTCTCAGGTCTCACAATCATTTGGTGTTTTTAAGACATATGAATAAAATGTTCACAAAATAATTTATAAACATTTACTTTGGCATTGTCATGGAGTCAGATACTGCTGAATTTCATTTATGACAGTAAATATGTCTACCAGTACCTGTTGGGTCATCATTGTGAGCTACTAGTACAATCAAGTCACTTCTGGCTGGGCGCCTCTCACTGCAACAAATAAACAGGCTTAAGTAAAATGCAGGGGCGGATGGAGGCCGTCTTCTGGGTCTTCCGGAACACAGTCAGAATTTTAAAAGTTTACATTGAACGTCATCTAATTTTTCTGTCGGAAGACGGTCAAAAATGGAGGATGGATCAACAAAGATAGTTTGGGAAAATATTTCTGAATCTGCCCCTGAAATGTGTGTGTGTGAGTGTGTGAGAGAGAGAGAGAGAGAGAGAGAGAGAGAGAGAGAGAGAGAGAGAGAGAGAGAGAGATGCCCTTTTATGCAGAAAGAACTCAATCTGATCTGATAGGACAAAAGTCTCCTCCAAGTGATTATGTGTTCCTGTGCACAATGTCTGTTCTGATCCCAGCCTCTTTGTGTGTGTGTGTGTGTGTGTGTGTGTGAGAGAGAGAGAGAGAGAGAGAAAAGAAGGGAGAAAGAGCTCACCTAGGTTTATCTCCAAACTGCACTTTAAACTGGTCAAGAGTTTGGTCCAACTCATCCTGAGTCACCAAGTAGCCACGGTCATGACAAAGCTACAATAAGAACATTTTAAGATTGCACAAAAATTGCTATGTCAGCACTAGTACATGTAGGTGTCACAAGAGGGCAGTACTCAGTGGCTTGACCCTGTGAAACCAATATACTTAAATATAACTCTGAAATCTGGTGTGGCACGAAAGGTGCCCACGGATTTACCTGACTTTAAAACAAGGCTTTGATTCTACCAAAATATTAAAGCTGCCGATAGTGAAACCGCAGTAACTTTACAACTTACAGCCATTTCATTGTGACTAGTCTCAATGCAAACTTCAGTTTAATGTTTTATTGGTATTTTCAAAATAAAACAGCAGGTTACCTGCATAACAGTTTTTCTTATTCTCCACAATTTATAGGTTTCCTGCTCATCATCCATTTCTTTGATGAAAGAATTGTAAATGAATTGATGTTGATTGAAATTTCCCTCGTGAGTGCATGCGATGAAAACCGGAAGTCCGATGTGCGCAAGTTAAACCGGAAGTTGTCCATATTGGAGGTCTTCAACTTGACGTTAAAATAATAATTATCTTTCAGTATAACTCAGTTTGGGTAGTAACCAGAACAACTATACTGATCACTGACAATTCATTGGTTCAGACGAACTCATAGACTCACGTGTTTTTCGTTTAGTGGTAAATAACGTCGATATTGTTGAAGAAATGTTCTTGGTTACTAGGTAAACAGCCACTGTCTTGGGGCTCTCCAGTCTCTCTAGAATCCAAAAGACGACAAGATTATGGATGAAAATATAACTGTTGGGGAATTATCAGGTTCGTAAAAAGAAGAGAATATTTGATTACCTCATCTGATTTATCTTTTCTTTTTCCCAGTTTGAATCCTTGTCTTTTATTCACACTTAGATAGAACTAAAAGCTTTAAGACCCAGCTGTGATAAACGAGTTTCTAAACTAAAATTTTTCTGGGGTAAGGAGTATTTTTCTCCGACTAGCCAACCGATAATATTCCTTTTCTGTCAATTACCATAGGTCTGTAGCAGTCTGGAAAAATTAAAAATGTTAGCTCAAAATTGAGAACTGACATTTGTTTGGAGAACATTTGTACTGATAGATCACCTAAATGTAAATGTTCAGTTTCAGTAAACAATCATAGTTTTTTTATCTCTTTAAACAGTTAGCCATGAGACAGACAGAGCTTTTAGCTTTGCTGCTGCACCAAAGTCACTACGACAGGTAAGATGCTGTTTTTATAAACCACTGTCGACGTAGACATACCAGTACATAGACATGTTATCTGGTGAGATTGCACGCTGTCATCTTGCAGGAGGCGTGTCATGCAGTTAATCTGATTGCATTCAGCAAGAGTCCCCATATAGATGTATCAATCTATGTAGAATGATAATTTTATTGGGAATGGGTCCTAACATTTCTATTTTTTTCTTATAAGTTAAATGTTTTATAGCACTATGCTCAATGTAACTGAAGATAAACTGATGTTAGACCATTACAATCCATTCCAGAATTTGATCAGGCAGGGGAAGGGCAGTGAGGAAGCAGTCAGTTGTGCTGCCATAGAAATACAGAGGGTCTGGAGAGGATATAGAACAAGGTACTGTGAGCTTATTGTAGTGCTGTAGCATTAAGTTAAACAAGATATACTACACTGCTTCATGTGGCAGGGATTATGTATAAAACACTCCCACATTTGACTTTAGGTGAAGGTAATTGAAATTGTGTAATGTTTGCTATATTATTTTTTGTATGA